AATATAAATAATCACATATATAATATATAAATAGAAAATAGTTTCATAAATATGATAAAAAAAAAAAAACACAAATGGAAAAAATATTAACAAAAAAATATGATTAATAATGTTAAAAATAAACATGATTATCTACATCATCCAATTAAATCAATTTTAAAGAGAAATATATCATACGTATATTGGTAATTTTAATTAATTGATTAATAACTTTTATTTTAATACTGTTCATTCCTTTCTCTGCAGTTGCATTTATTAATACTTTTTATTAGAATTAAATGAATTGTTTTGTAAGTGTATTCAGTATTCATTACTCGTCTGACTTAGTCGATTAGTTGTTGTTATTTATATTACGTTGCAGCGACAGCTGCCCTTTGGCTGCCACTGTGTCTTGTGCTCTCCCACTCACGCGCTCACCCGCTCTCGCTCTCCTTGTGCAGTTGCCATTTCCGTTGCTATCTATTTGTCGCTGGGGTTCTCCACTCTCGCTCTCACTTACTTTACACTCCAGGGGTGCATTGAGACCGCACCACAATGCACTGCTCCGACTCACCGTGTCCCGCCACCCTGCTTGCATTCCTTTCACACACACATGCATAATATATGCATATATATTGGTAGTTTAATATTATTCCTTAAATGCGATCACTTAGCAGGCTTTGCCTGCTGCCCTCTCTCCTCCTAATCCCTTTTTCTCGTTCTCTTTGTATTATTTGGTTATATTTATATACATATATATTTATTTATACTTTTTCAAATTTGCTTATAGCTTACATTACTTAGTATGCTACGCCTCAGATACGGCAGCTGCTGATAAGACGCCTATAATCACAGTGCGCCCGTTTTGATTCTCTTTGTTTCTTTCTTTTTCAATGCGCTCTCCGCCGGGCGTCAACTGGATAATGAGTTTAATCCGCAATTCCGACATTTCATAATGTGGGCTTAATAGTCGATCCATTGCTACTCAAGTGGGCACTTGAGAGACGTGATAAACATATGTTATGTTTTCTTTTCTGATGTTTTCTCTTACACTTCAGAGCTGTTAAAGATTATCAGCATTATCATCATTGAAAAAATTATTGTTGAGTACAGCTAAGGATGCGCTTATCAGATAAATCACATACACATTAACCCACATCTTTTATCTCACATTCAACTAAACAAGTTATAAATCTTTATAGCATTATTTGCTGTGGTTTATGTTCATGACGTCTGGAGTTTTCAACTTGGGAAAAAACCACCAGATGTATACAATAAATGTATAAATATGTTTATTTAAATGTATTAATAATGTATGATGTTAACATCGTTTTAGATACCATATATTAATTAATATATATTTAATAATTTGTTTTCAATCATTTCTTAAAACAAAATACAAAATGAATTAATTAATTGGCAGACTTAATTAAGTTTACTAATAATATTATTATATTAATTTGATTGATTTAAGTTCATTCAATTCAGAACTTCATTCAGTCAGAACTTTCATATAAAAGAAAATTTTCTTAAGCAAGAGAAAATTTAAAAAATTTGAGTACTTTGTAGCAAGATATATTTTCATTTTGTTCATGCTCATTATTTAATATCTTTTATAGCTTATGAATAAAATAAAATTAATTGAACACATTTCTTTCGATTATTTTCATCTTTTTATTGATATCGCGCAAGAAAGAAAAAATTAATATAAAATACAAAAACCAAAGTCACTTCTAAAATTATCGATTTTTTGCTCATAATCAATCAAAGTTAACTTACTCAAACCCATTCACCCACCTGAGACAACAACACTAATTAGCCTCAAGCTATCTTACCTCTCTTGCACACATATAGTCGACCTTATCAGCGGCTGCCTAATCGGCTAATTATTTATAAATGTATGAATAAAGTTAGATTTCATTTCATCAATTCGATTCGATTTAATTTTTTTATTTGATTTTATTTGCATTTATCGTATTTTATCGTATTCTCAACACACCCACCCAATCTCATCAAGGCCAATGTATGAACTCAATTCAATTTATATCTACATATTCAGGCGAATGTTTGAAAAATCAATAGCTAAAATGATAACAATTCTTGCGATAAGGTTGTGTCGATATATTTTATCTTAGCTGCAAAACAAATAAAGTAACAACAAATTGTATTAGAGAAACGTAATTATGATTAATAATGTGAAGTGCTTTGTAATGTTTCACGATTTCCATTTGAAAATAAAGTAAAGGTTTATGTTTCAAATATAAATGCTATCTGTCATATCTTATTATTTCCTTACCACGAATTCAGAGATACCGGCAATGCCTTTCCCTATGTATTTTTCACTTTGCCACAAAACCAATATACTAATTTCACTCTTGTAAATGACCATGAAAAAAAAAAAAATAAAAATTTAACAACAGGTATCTTAACTTTTACAACTCACTTTTAGTGTCTAATGACTAAATAGATAGCTGACTACGTTATTATTCCTAAAAGAGAAATCAAATCTTCTCCCAAAGCTCTACCTCCTAATATAATCTCTCTAATAAAACTTAGAAACAGGCACCGTCGAAATTGGTTGAGACGCAGAAATATAYGTGATCTGACTCTAGTTAGATGGTTCAGCCAACTAGTTAATATTGAATTATCCAAACTCAGAAACGAGAACTGGAATAATCTCTTATCCTCGCTAGAAAAAAATTCTTCCCCCTTTTGGAAGCTTTCAAAAGTCATCAAGAAGAAATACAGTGGAATACCCACACTCACACACAATCAGCAAAATTTCGTAAGTGCCGATAAGAAAGTCGAACTATTAGCATCATTGTTCGCCTTGAACCATTCGCACTCAGCTAATCTCGGTGATCCATCCACTAGCTCTGAGGTCAACAGTTTCACGGGGTTATTGGACTCCCTGCCTGTTGACCACGACGAATCATACCTGACAAATGTCCATGAGGTATCTTCGATTTTAAAAGAGCTTAAATCCAAGAAGACTCCAGGTCTGGATAACATTGAAAATGTGTGCCTAAAAGCCCTCCCTCGTAAAGGAGTCAAATTTCTTTCATTCCTTATTAATGAGTGCCTACGCCTCGGATATTTTCCACATAAATGGAAGATCTCTAAAGTCATTCCCATTTTAAAGGCAAACAAGCCTCCTGAATGCCCTACATCATATAGACCAATAAGTCTGCTTTCATCAGTCAGTAAAATCCTAGAGAAAGTCATTAAGAAAAGATTAGTTGACTTTACTGAAANATTAAAAGCAAGAAATTATTTCTATATAAAGGCTTCAAATATCATTTTTAAACTACGTAATTGAGTACAATTAGTGAAAAAAAAAATTGTAATTATAGATAACACAAATTGTAAAATAGATTAGAAGCACGTTGCGAAATGAGTTCATTTACTTGAATATTCAGGCAATTGATAAAAATTGTTTCAGTTCGTCATTGTTAGCTAAATATAGACTAAAAATTTGTTGGATTTATTTGTTTAGCGTGCACACGGGCTTTTACGGCTTTTACCATATGCAAAGTGACTCGGTGATAGTCAATTTAAGTAATTTACGTTTAATTGCATTGCTTGACGAATGTTTCAGTAAATTTCAGTCATTGCCGTGACACGCATTTCGAGCCCAGTGGAAACGGTGAAAACTGTGGAAGCGCAAGGTTTCCCGACTCATTTCATGCTCACATTTAATTAATTTGCAATTACAATTGCAATTTGTAACGTTCTAAACTAACTGCCCATCATCAATTGAGGCAGCAACAATAGCAATCAGCACCCGCCCACACAATGCTTTTGAACCCGTTTGACATTGCGGGCTTTCCAGACTATTCATTCAATTCAGTATGTCAGGCTGTTACACAATTCTCTCGCTTTACTCAACTTCTCTCGCATCGGGTTCAGTTTGAGTTTCGTTCATTGTAGTTTTGTTTATCCTATCATCATCATCCATAGAGTCCTCATTGCTGTTGGCGACCTCCTCCCTCGGCGCGGGCAAGAGCTCACCCACTTTTAGTTTGGCGGGCAAACGCTGCGCTCTGATCACCCCAAAGGGATGCAGATGATAGATTAAATAGTCTAGCACATACATGAAATTGGGCGGAACATAGTGAAAAGAAATCGCATTATCCGAACAGCAATCGAGACCCTTTATTAAAATATTAGATTAAACATTCATCCAATCATTCATGAATGCATTCATTTAGCCACTTACATCGTCTGTCTTATAGTAGAGATATTTCCAGTACCAAAAATTGGGATCCTTGTAGGGTATTAATATTTGCTCCGGTGCAAAGGGAAACATGCGACCACGCCCATTCACATCACGAGAATC